ATAATCATAGAGAAATAATTATTGATTATGATAAAGATAATCATTTTTTAGTTAATTGTATTATAATTTTACTTTTAATTCTACAATTTTACTATAATTTTAGTAATAATAATTACTAAAATGCATGTTACTATTACTATCTTCGTGTTGAAATAACCAAAAAATATGGTTGGGAACAAATTGGGTCTAAACCATATTTTTTGGTCGTTTCAACATGAAGATAGAAATAATAACTTGTATATAAGATTATTATCATCAAAATTATAATACAATTAACTAAAAAATAGTTGTCTTGACCATAATTTATACTAATTATTTCTCTATATAATTATAGTTACAAATACCAAATATTTTTCTCTAAGTGAAGATTTTTGTCATTAATATTACAGTAGAATTTAATGAAAAGAAATTGTTGGTAGCAGAGTTTATAGTAAATATATTTATTGTGTGTGTGTGTGTGTGTGTGTGTGTGTGTAGGGTGTCTTGCAATCGCCGTAAGATATTTTAATAGCGTATTTTGAAGATAGAATAAAAATCCTAATACAAAAATGTCGAGACTACAATAGTTTTTTAATTATAACCGATCAAAGATTACCAGTAATATCGCGTAGAATTCGCGCGCTCAGACCTGTAATTATACAGCACGCACAACGTTTTATCATTTGTTATCGACTTCATGGTTAATATTGATTTTTATACAGCTAATTCCTAAAAACATTAATAATTATTATTGTTAGAACTATTAAATTTAATAATTTCTATACTTGAGTAACAAGGATTTTTGCGTTTTTAATATAAAAAGTCATCATGGAAAATAATTTATTATTATTTTCGTTTTTTTTACGTTTTATGAGGAGTAAAATCGTATAATTCTAATAAATCAAGGAAATAAAGTTAATTTGTCCACATTTTCTAAACAATTAAAATTTTTACTAAAATCTTGATATACTGAAATTATTGTAAGATCCGAACTAAGATCTGTTTTGACCGAATATGCTTTCTCCATTTATCAATCTTCATAATTTTTAACTGTGAAGTCGATAACAAATGATAAAACGTTGTGTGTGTTGTATAATTACAGGCCTAAGCGCGCGAATTCTACACGATATCTGGTAATCTTCTCTCTGATCGGTTATAATTCAAAAACTATTGTAGCCTCGACATTTTTGTATTAGGATTTTTTACTCTACTTTATCTTCAAAATACGCTATTAAAATATCTTACAGTGATTGCAAGACACCCTGTATATATATATATATATATATATATATATATATATATATATATAATATTTTTATAATTATTTCTCTATGTGATCGTAGCTACAAGTACAAAATCTTTTTTCCTCAATGTTACGTGAACACGTATTATGATGAGAGCACATGCGACCCGCGTAAACGCGTTCCGTGTAAGATGCCGAGAATAATTGCGTTTGTTTCGCGTTCTTACGTTCATTTTTTCTCGAGATATGGACGTCAGAAGCTCTCGCAGTTTTTATGACACGGCGGCAGCACGCGCCTGACATATTGTAACGCTTCGCGCCGCGGACTTGGCACCTCTCGCTTCGAGAGCGGCGTAACTTCCTTGCCGGGCCTCAGACCCATCAAAGGACTCGCCGCCGGGCGATAACTCCGCGTAGAAAAGTCGTAGCAACGTGGGGTAAATTGCACTCGAAAGCTGAGACCGTCCCGCTTCCGCTGGGAGAGTGTTCGTTTCCCCATAGTCATCGTTTGATTTGGCTGACAAATTGGCAAGGCACATCGAGCAATTGATCCACTTTCTCTCTCAAGCTAGACGTACTATCAAATAAGCGCAATCTCGATTCCGATTCGAGCGACGATTCCGATTCTTCCGTAATGTTCGGCTGTTTTACACGGTAGATCATGAGAGATTGCATATTTGTCTGTCTATAATCTGACTGTGTGGATCTATGTAACTATTTAATGTTAGCGTTTGATGAGGGAAACGATTGCGTTTCTCGGATTGTATGATATCTAAAAATACGAGGTCAGATTGTCACGCGAAAAGCCCGTTCGCACACTAATTACCCATCTCAATGTCGATCGATAGTTTTGCATATAAAGCTTTCGTCGATATGAAATTCCTCGAAGTGAGAAGAGAGAGAGAGAGAGAGAGAGAGAGAGAGAGAGAGAGAGAGAGAACGCGCGCGCGCATAGATAAGATACATTCCATTTCCAATTCATTTTTAATTGAGATGCACGATGTAACTGATTTGCTGAATGAACAGCGCGGGGACTCACTACAAATTCTATTTCACGAAAGTAGGTCTCATCCAAAGACATTTCCCGGAAAGCGTCAGCGAAACAAGCGGACTATTGAGCGACGAGGCTTTCGATTTTCGCATCGTGACTCGGTGAATATATTACGCCTGCATACTTAGACTGGTTGTCATTTGGCGTTATCGACATGTTTCCTGTAAACGCACAGCGTTATCGTAACAAGCGGATATTAGAATATTATTCTCACACTGCGCATTGGCGTGTCGCCTACGTTACCACGACTTGCGGTTTCGTATGAAAATCGCGAACATACAAATTTTCTTGCTTGCGTGACTCATTATCTCTTTTGTGCAATCGGCAAAATTGAATCTGGCGATTGTCGAGGATTGCAAACAACGTAGAGTTGAAGCCTCATCATTTGTCGTGCAGTTTTGCTTATCGAGGTAGCTTCAACGTTGTTTGTAACTTCAGAAGGCAGCATTGCGGCTGACTTTGAGAATTTTCTCACATTACACATATACGGTCTCTTTTTATATTCTTTGGTTTTGGCTTTCTAAAAAAAATCATTTTGGTTTTTCAAAAAAATATAATCTTATTCTTAGCGAAATCTTTTTATATGCACTGAGTGTAAAAATATTTGAAAATTCATTTGGGGGATATAAAATTTATTTTACAAAAGTGAACTTTACTTCACAGAAATAAACTTTATATTCCACAGATAAATTTTCAAGTATTTTTCGACATACTTCGCACATTTATTATTTGTTACTCTCAGCTATTTTTCGACATATTTATCATTATTTTTTATTATTTTACTAGTTGTTAGTTTCAGGTGTGTTATCTACAGGTATTAATTATATTTTTAATTTAACCCTTTAAGTATCGCTAGTACCAATAGGGACCACTTAGGATCGGGCAATTGAAACGCGCCATTTTTGGTTTCAAAGACAACTGATAGATATCACTAGTATAGTTACTAGAATGTTTCATGAATTAAAGGGTTGCGCCTTAAAGAGTTAAATTTGAGAGCAAGAGAAGAGCAAGAAAAGTTCAGGCTGTAAATTTTGCAAGTTTACACTCGGCAAAGAATAAGTAGTATTGGATCTATCGTCAATTAATTGCACACTACTCAATGGTAGACGGATCGAACAATATCTAATATTAAATCCAAGTATGGCTTAACCGAATGTTCATGAATATTCGAGCGACATAGATATATATAACTTCGTTCGCGAAGGTGCTCCCGAAAATTTTTAATATTTTACGTTCCAATGCGCCTCTCGACGCGTTGCATCTGAATGCGTGTATTCGACCGTAACGACGAAGGTCAATTTCTGCCATGGAAACGACAAACCAAAGTCGCAAAGCGAGAAGCCAACGAGAAGTTGAATGGGGATTTGTAAGAGAGAAGTTTAGTATATAGCACGTAGAGCCACTGAGAATGAAGTTTATCGAGCGACGAGGACTTTGCGAATGAATCAGATAGATAGATAGATAGAGAGAGAGAGAGAGAGGGGGGGAAAGGGAGGGAATGAGAAAGAGAGAGAGGGAGAAGAAGGGTGTGTGCGTAGGAGGGTGAGAGTTTCCAAAGAATGTTCATGGAGCAGAAAAATATCGACAGATCACGCGCGCGCACACTAGGCTGCTTTTAATAACCGATAAT